ACTGCCCCCCCACATTTGTGCATGACTCCCCCCTCTCCTGAAGCCTGGGGAGGGGGAAAATGGCCCCCCCTGGTCTGCTGGTAGTCCTCCAGAAGCTGGAAATGGCCCATTTCTGAACTTCCAGTAGGCCTGGTATGCCCATTTTCCGCCTTCCCCAGGCTTCGGAGGCTTTCCTAAAGCCTGGGGAGGGTGTAAACGGCCTCCCCCAGCCTCCTGAGGCCCTTCGAAGGCCAAAAATAAGCTGGCCAGCACCTGACCACAGAGTCTACTCCTAGCGCAACATTCTTTTTCCTCTACCTGTCCTAACCAAAAGCCCTATCAATTATGGAGCTGATAGAAAAACCTGCCCCTTGCCATAGAGTTCCTATGGCGCGCCCTGCTCCCCCCCCAAATTGGAAGCTCCTCTCAAAATTGTGATCCCGACTGGGGATAGGGAGCCGTAGCAGAGGGATGAAAGAGTCACATCCAGCTCCAGAGCTGCAGGTTGCTGACCCCTGACCTAGGGCAATGGCTCACGTGCACTCAGAGAGGCTCTGCGTGCCATAGATTTGCCATCATGGTCCTAGAGGAAAGCCATGTGGGTGACCTTTTCTCACCAAGATTTTCACATATGGAAGGGCTGGGATCTGACTCAGAGAGGATGGAAGGAAACGGGAAATGTTGAGTTCTCCTGAATCTACACTTCTTCCCTTTCCAGAATGGGACCCTCAAGAGAGAGATATGTGCAATATTTTTTTATTAGCTTAAGAGAAGAGTAGAACATCAGTCTCCTCATTCATTAGGGCCTTTACCACTAGATCACTATGGACCTTGGGTTGAGAGAGAGGAACTCACCCAAACTCTTTCAGGGAGCTTCTGATTGAAGACAGACTAGAACCGTGATGGCAAACCTATGGCACATGTGCCAGAGGTGGCACATGCAGCCTTCTTTGTGGCGCATGTGCTGTCATGAGCTGTTCTTCTGGTTTCTGGCACTCGCAGAAACTAGAAAGAGGCCATATTTGGCCCCCAAAATGGCTGAAAAACAGCCCCAAAATGGACTGGCTTTTTAATATTTTTGGCTGTTTTTCAGGCCATTTTGGGGCCATTTTCAGGGGCGTTTTTGGCTGTTTCTGGGCCAAAAATGGCCTGAAACTAGCCCAAAAATGGCCTGGAAATGGCCTGAAAAATGGCTCAAAAACGGTCCAAAGCAGTCTGTTTTGGGGTGGTTTGGGGCCATTTTCTGGCCATTTTCAGGCTGTTCTTGGGTTGTTTTCTGGCATCCATTTTTCAGGCCAAAAAGGACCTGAAATCAGCCCCCAAAACAGGCATGTAAACAAATCCCGACAAGACCGAGTGGGTTGTGTTTTTCCCTCTCACTAATTGGCCTTGTTTTCCAACTCTCAGGCTGGGGGGTGAAATTATACGCCCCTCAGACAGGGTTCGCAATTTGGGAGTCCTCCTGGATCCACAGCTGACTTTAGAACACCATTTGTCGGCTGTGACTAGGGGGACATTTGCCCAGCCAACCAATGGCTGTTCCGGCAGGCCTGGGGCTGATGAGTTCCCAGCCCCACTCGAATTGTTGTGACTGTTGTGAGAGCCTCCCGGTTCAGGTAGGGACGCAATTGGTG